ATAATAAACAGTACAAAAACAATAGGCCTTCGCAGCGCTTAGCTGCTCGGGCCTAAATAAAAAATATTTTGGAGTATGAATAGAACTTTTGAAATATCTATGAAAACCCTGTCCTGATACCGTCTGGTTTCTCAGCAACAACAGGATGTGATCCAGTCATGTGATTTAACCTCCATCTTTCTGTGGTTAATTATCTGAGACTGTTACAAATTATGTCAAAAGTAGAGATTTCAAACTATACACCAGTTTTTAAAGACTGTTCCACTTCAAGAATAATTGTCATAATTTCTCCTTACCTGAGGAAAGTCTGCATATGATCCCTGCTGCTGTAGACTATCTGGTCTGTCTCATCCCTGATTTTGTTCTGTGGCAATGAAGATTTATTTTAAATATGTGGAAAGCAGTCAGCACAACTTCTGCACAGAAATGAAAGACGACTGGGTTTAGCTTGGCAAGGGATGTAACAGGTAACAACAACTAATCATGTTAACTAGCTAAACATTATACAATGTGTAACTCATCATTTAGCTAACATTATCTGCCTCCAACAGCATGACTAAACTTACATGATTTGTTTGGTAAAAACTGTGCGAAGTTTTAGTTGCTCTTTACACCAGGAGACGTTGCTCATCACAGTAGCTCCTATCCGTCATCTCATCTGCAGGAGTAGCTTGGAACTCTTATGGTGCGTTCAAAGACGGCTCAGAAAAACGCATTACCAAATGTTAACAATGGATAAAACAGCTGTTACGGCTGAGAAAAGTACGGGGACAGAGAGCGCAAATGCAGGAAGTACAGGGAGACATGTCCACGCATATCCCACATCCGTTGTGTCCATGCCTTCACTACTCTACGCTTTGGAGACCGTGGGCCCCTGGGCAATTGCTCAATTGCCCATATGGTTAACCCGGCCTTGCCCGTGACCCACTGTCCTGCATGTTTTAGCGGTTTACCTACTTCGGAACACCTGATCCAAATAATTAAATTACTTTGAATGTTATCAAGTTTAGCAGAAACCTGTCAATCACTCATTCATTTCAGTCAGGAACCATGTGTGTGAGTAACTTTGTGTGTGAAGGCCCAAGGTTACAACAGCAAAACAACGCACGAACTCTTGTGAGCAGAACATCTCAACTCTAAGAACATTATTTAAGAACTTATGTAAAAAACACACAATTAACTAATGATTAGCTATGAATTACTATTAATAAACTAATAAACATATTTAAACTAATAAAAATGATTAAGTAATGTTTATTAAAAACAGAAGATGTTAAAAGCTAAAGGCAAAAGCACTGACTAAAGCAAACATTCTGTTAATACTAAATCATCATTTCTAAACATTTCTAAACATCATAATCACATCAAATGCTTAGCAATAAAATAACTATAGAGCCCTTAGAAATCAATGACAATCAAACACATTGTAAAGGGTTTATGCATTTGAACTATCCATGTGTGAGGAACAGCAGAAACAAACAGAACACTTGTTTTGACTTGTTTTTATCAGCAAAATAACAGATTCTTGAGAACATAAACTTTTCCCAAGAGAAAAGTGGAGAGTAAAAAGGCTTATGTTTTTTAATAGCTCTACATGAGAGCTGAAAAGAGAGTTCATTCTGTGAGAGGAGGGGGCTTTGACCTCAGGTGGTCAAAGGTCAATCAGTGGCAAGATGAGGTGAGGGGAAATGGGCGTATTCTCTACATCATCTTACTGAAAGATCACACAGCTTTGATCAGCAACTTTTTTTTCAAGTTTTAGCGATGTTTTTCTAGCTTTAATGACAGAAACAAGCCTGGAGTAGCCTGTATTTTCTGAACACTGTAGTAAGATTCTGCTGTTGATTATTGAACAGTTGCTAGATTATAAGTTCCTCGTAACTTATTCGTATAATAACAGGGGCACCACCTGGTATCCAGGAAATTAATTTGTAGATCTTAGTCAGTCTCAAATACTGAATAGTGAATTCTACCAGTTTAGAGAGCAAAACGAAATAATGGACGCACAGAAGAGCATAAATTTCAGAATATAACCTGTATTAATTGATTCAGAGGTAACAATACAAGCAGATTATTTGGCAACAACAGAAACCATTATCATCAAGACCTTGAAGTTTAACAATAAGCATCACTATCATTCCATAATAAACTCTAGCATCCTTCAACTGAATCTCCTAAACCAGTCTACACTAGCAAAAATTAGAAGAAACTTAAAGATTAATAAAAGAAAGTGTTAATTCATCGATTAAGAGGGGACTTGAATTATTAGGGAAATGAACTTGCCAAATCTTCCTTCAATACAAACTTAATGATCCAGAACTGTCACTACACCACGTCAGCTGAGCACACCATAGACAGAGGAAGCATGTCTGTCCTACCGGTCAGATGCTTGCAGAGGTTGTCCCAGGATACCGAAGTTCAAGCGAAGCTGGGTCAGCGATGTCGCCCAATTTCAGAGCGGTCCCTTGTGGGTACAACTTAACACCTCGGAGCGGCTTGGGGCGGAACCAGGAGTCTGCTTCTAGATCCGTGTTGATTGAAAAAGATTCTGATCAAGCTCTCTTCCTGCATAAATCCGGTCCCGCACTATAAAGAGG